GATACCACACATTTACGATGGTTAATTTTTTGAAAAGTTTCATTTATTTAAAGAAAAGAACAACTAATCACAAATAGAGAAATAATTGAGAAAATTTTTTCAATTGCGTTCCGCAGGCGATCTCATGAACGAAGATCAAATACTGGGCTGGCTATTGCATCAGAAAAAACACTCCGAGATCCCGGAAGTAACGGACGAAATGGTCGAAAAGCTCGTAGAGACTTCGCCGTACATAGCAGTCCTGTTTTGTAAGCGATCGATTCGTCTTTCTACCTCCTTTTAACATTCTTCCACTGTTACTTGTTAGGTAGGTGCTGTTATATGGTCGCGAGTGAGAGCGACCAGCGAATTAATTCTTTTCCGTAGACGACAAGGACGATAAGCAGGATATGCGGATCCTGAACGAGTTGGAGAACATAGACGACGAGCTGGAAAAGGAGGGGATCGTCATCGTCCGCATAGACAACGACGCCGAGGCCAAGGAATACGGTATCGATCATCTCCCAACCCTGGTGTATTTCGAAGATAAAATCCCGGCAATATACGAGGGCGATCTACTGAACGAAGACGAAGTCCTCGAATGGCTGATAGAACAGAAGAACAGCGCTACCATCGAGGAGGTCACGGACGAGATACTGACGGATCTCATAGAGGACCATGAATACGTTGTGGTATATTTCAGTAAGCGAACTTTACTCATCAGTATTATCTATAGAAAGTCAAATTAATTATTAAGAGCTTCATTGAGTTAATTACAGTAGAACTCCGAAAGACAGACAGTTCCTATAACCGAATAGTTCAGATAATAGAGATTCACTAATTCTTCCGTCTGCCAGTACTTATTAATTCTGATGATAGAAGAGCTGAAAAGATAAAATCGAAGTCGAGTTCCTACTATCTGAACTACAACAGCTATGAGATATTTGGAGCTGAGCATGAACTTTGTTCGTATAAATGGAATGCAGATAAATGTGGAGTTCTACTATATCCTCTTCGATTGCTTATGACATAATCGACCAAAAATTATAACAGGTGGAAGTTGCGACGAAGGAGAAAAATGCGACAATATCCTTGAAGATTTAGAGAATATTGACGACGAGCTGGATGAAACGGGCATTATATTCGTTACTACCGAAGACATCACCTTAGCAAAGAAGTATGGTATCAAGCATTTCCCGACTCTTGCGTTTTTCCGAAACAAGGATCCGTTGATTTATAATGGCGATCTCGATGACGAGGATGAAGTATTGTCTTGGATCACCGATGAGGACACTTTGGAGATACCAGGAAAAATCGAAGAAGTCAATGCTAGAATGCTGGAGAACATTCTCGACGAGAACGATTATGTCGTCGTCTTTTTCTGTACGTCAATCGCAAAATGATCAAACGTATCACTATACGGAAAGAATTTTGCTGAAGTATTTAAAAATTTATCTAGATACAAATCTGAAAATAATTTTGTTGGACAAAATAATTATGTGGAAAGTTCAAATTTTCTGCAGTTCATTATGCTTCAGATCCAATTATTTTGATGGTCCAACAAAATTATTTTTAAATCTGTATCTGGCTAAATTTTTAAATAGAATATTCAGCAAAATTATTCTTTCCGTGTATAATTTATTAATTAATCATAATACAATAAAAATACTTGCTTATAGATAAAGAAGGCGATAAGAAGAGTCAAAAGATCCTTCTGGAGCTTGAAAACATTGATGACGAGTGCGAAGAGAAGGAGATTGACTTTGTAAAGATTTCCGACGAGGGAATCGAAAAGGAATACGATCTTCCAGGATTACCGGCGTTGGCATTCTATAGACACAAATTCCGGCAGATCTATTCAGGCGACATGATGCACGAAGAAGAAATTTTAGAATGGGTCCTCGAGCTTCGCACTACAACGCCGGATGTTATCGAGAGTGTCGATAGAAAAACGTTACAAGTACTTATCAATGATGTTGAGCATCTCGCCGTGTTCTTTTGTAAGTATGAACTTTTAGCTACTAAATTTATGTATGTATAAAGTGTTTGAGAATTATAGATAAATATTTAATATTTATGATAAAAATAAGAAAAAATACCTATAATGTATAAGAAGAGCACCCTATATATCTATATCTATCTATTGGATTATCTATGGATACATTATTTATATCTTCTTCGATATATTTGTCTTAAATAATAACTAGCTTAAAATTAACCAAAAATTCATAATTAAAATGCACTTAGAGAGCAAAAAAATAATAACATAAGATATCATTTTTCTTTTTTATATATGTAAGGTAAAACGCATGTAACATTTATCTTTTCAGAGATCACATAGTTAGAGTTTATAATTACAAAAATAACGTTTTTTCTAATAAAAATAATAATAAAATGATACAAATTTATATTTTGGTATTCAAAACGCGTTTTTATCGATGATTTATTTTTGCGCGTCTTTATTTTTGAAATTCTATAGTATACGTGATCTACGTGCTAAATGTATGTACGCTAATATCATTATAAGTACATTCTAAACAAACGAGCCAAAATTGGCCATTATGTATATGTTCTCAAGATCGTATATAATAGAAAAATTATAATTTTTAATAGACGATGACAAATGTGAAACCTGCGCGGATATTCTCGAGGAATTAGAAACGATTGACGATGATAC